CTCATTTGAAAAAAAAGAAAATACATTTCTGACACTTTCGACTATGCTCTACAACCTGGCATAAACGGTTTTATTTACTTTTGAAAAAAATATTTAATCAGCGAAGTGTCGCGTTAGGTGGACAAGCTGTCTAGGCGAAAGTGAAATGAGACGTTGGACCAGTTCAAAGTGGAATTTGACTTTGGCCTAGGCCAGTGTTACATTGGACTGAATTTCACTTTGGACGCTAACATATATATCGGTAGAACTTATATTTTTGACTCTAACGTTACATTATAGTCTTGTTTTCTTGAAAATGAAAATTGTATTTTCGAAACGTCGAATTTTAATAAAAAATTGAATAATGGAATTAAAAATAGCTGCTGTTATTATCTCTATAGTTTTAAAATTTTTACCCGTTAATAAGCATAACATTAGTAATTATCTATGGCAGCATTACGGGGTTAACATAATGAAATGTTTTTGGGACATGGTAAAGATGAACAAGATGGTACGTAAATTAGAGTTGGATCTTAAGCTCTTAAAAAAATGTAAAGAAGAAAATTTGTTTCCTAAATTCGTGAAATTTAAATTATCAAATCCTAGATTGGGAGATGATGTGAAAATTAATGACTGTTATTTAAATATTCTAAATGCTGAAATCAAATTCAAAAAGAGACAATTGAGCAGACGTCATAGAATTTATAACAGATTAAGATGCAATTTTCAAGATTATGTTACTGTACTTGAATATGCAAGATGTATCCGTATTATGGATGGTATAGTCAGAGAGGAAGTAGAGAAGTGGTCAAAGACACATTCTACAAAATTAAAAGATCTTCGAGATGCACAAGGTATCGACAATACAATAATTAGATTAGATCCAGTAAAAAATTTATCGTCACATATGTTAAGTAGTGTTGAACATGAAGCTTTATGCAACGCTTTACATCATGCCTATCCGTTTACGAATATTGATCAGATACAATTGATTTCAAATATGGAGTATTTCTATGCTAGATTGTTAGGTGTTAAAACGTCGTTTTACCATTGGGAAGAAAATCGGCTGATGAATTAACGATTAATAATTTGACATCGGAACAATTACAAACTGCTGGTAAAGTACGATCGTACGTAGACGCTTTCCAAACGCATGCTAAACGTGAACTGAAACCGCTTTTAAGTAAAAATCGAAGTTTTCACCAATGTCTTCGTAGTTTATCTAAAGATAAATCTATTGTCATAATAGGTCAAAACAAGCAGAAAACCCTAATTTTTGAAAAGCTTAGTTTTCGCTATATTTTAAACTTTTTTTAAGAACAAATATTGTCACGAGATTCAGGAAAGTCGAAACTTATGTTTCCATGCACTGCTGAGATTCATTGACTGAAATGAAGTGCAATCCTAGAGCTCCCAGCAAAACCTTGAACTCTGCGTACCCATGGCGGATGAAGCTCTCGCTTAGATTCCGTTTTGTTGAGGACACTTTAGTCTAACTGTTCATGAAAAAAAATCAATATATTACAATGTCGAATTTTCCAGGCAGAAAACGGTTTTCCAGAGCTCTCCTTGAAAACCGATTTTGGGAAACTATTTCTAATATTTTTTGTTTAAGTCACGGCTATCAACAGCCAAAACAGCGAGTCTTCATCTACTTTCGTTCAACTGTTATTCAAAGAATGGTCTTATATTTTGGTTTCGATAATAGATCGGAACAATTGAGCAATCGAGTATGTTGAGTAGGACTCGGACTCGATGCATGCCTACGAGCGGTAGATCAAAGAAAAGTTTCTAGATGTTGTTCTTCACGTTACAGTGAAATAATTCTTTTTTTGTCAGATTCATAAGATGTATATCTGCGTGTTATCTGGATGAGAAGGCAACGTTTAGCATATAAGAAAAAGTTTCACTTGTATGCTTGGGGTAAATAGAGACACTTCATTCAGATACATGGAGTTTTAATGTACAATTGCTGGTGAATTAAGCTTAAGAGATAATTAGTTCAAAAACACCTCATTTTATAGCCCGGATCTTCCTCTCTCTACTATATAGTTTTCAGCTCATTATCATTTAAACTCATTGAGCTAATTAGCATATCATCAACAGTACTAGAAATTTTCTTTTTTCCTGTTTTATGCTTTGAGGTAAATAAAGACACTCCGCTGAAACACACGGAATTCTCAGAGGCAAGCCTCTACTGTCTCTCAAAAGTCGATTTTGGTATTATACCAAATGACATAGTTCTTCAGAATGCTGAACTCTATTACATATGTGAAAATCGAAAGAAAAGAAAATATTTTCAGCCATTTCTGTGCACACAATGATCATTGTGGGTTTTAAACATTTTTTTTCATTAAAATTATCAAAATAATTAAGATAGAATCATTATTAACAGTCAAATTCCACTCAGGTTGAACGTTTCATATACCTTATATAGTTCTCTTCATATTACACCAAAAATTTTTTATAGAACATATGTTTTAAGGCCAACATTTTCACTTTGCATTAGGCATGCAACGATTATTTTATGGGGGCACTCC